ATAAAATTTAAAATTTTAGTGTATAGCAAATTAATTGTACTTTCTATTATGGAAATAATGCATTCATATGATGTTTTTAAAACAAAACAGAAATAAACAGCCTAATTAAAAGATAGGTAAGAGATCTGAGTAGACACCTCACTAAGGAAGATAAACAGATGGGAAGGAAGCATTTGGGATTTGCTCACTCAAAACTACTCACGGTCTTACTGTGCTAGGGAATTGCAGATTTATAACCACAATGAGGTACCACTCTATGCCTGCTAGAACTGCTTAAATCGAAAACCATGACAGCAAATGCTGAAAAAACAAGAACTCTAGTGAGAAAAGGAAAAAATGGAAACAAAGTCTTTGTAGGTAGGGAGGGATGGAAGGGTTGAAGGAAGAGCAGGGGAAGGGGGAAAAATAAGAACCAAGAAAGATTATGTAAAGGTGCAAATTTCCAATGAAGAATGTCATTATATTGTATACCTTAAATGTACCAGTGAAATTAATTTTAAAAAACGAGGAACTCTCATTCATTGTTGGTTTTAATGCAAAAGGGTATGACCATGTTGTAAGACAGTTTGGCAGTTCCTTACAAAAATAAATAAACTCTGGTCATACACCCAACAATTTTGTTTAGAGCAGGTCTATTCTTTTTTTTCCCTTAAATTCTTTTATTGGTACATTTTAGGTATACAATACATTTACATTTATCATTGGGAACTTGTACCTTTACATGATGTATCTTGGTTCTTATTTTTTCCCCATTCCTTGCCCTCCTTTCACCCCCTCCACCCTTCCCTATTTACAAAGACTTTGTTTCCATTTTTTCCATTTCTTATAATTTTTCCTTTCCCTTCTTTACTTTCCCCTACCCCTCCCACTTCCCCTACCCCTTTGGACCTTTTCTTCCTATTTCTCATTATCAATTATTCATTTTAATTATTGGTACATTTTAGGTATACAATATAATGACATTCATCATTGGAAATTTGCACCTTTACATAATCTTTCTTGGTTCTTATTTTTCCCCCTTCCCCTGCTCTTCCTTCAACCCTTCCATCCCTCCCTATTTACAAAGACTTTGTTTCCATTTTTTCATTTTCTCTTATGGAATTAATATGAGAAAATGCTGTACTTCTTTCAAGGAACAGTATCACATAAATGACTTAGAATTCTTCTCCAGAAAAGACTGTCTTTTCTCACTCACTTATTATTTTATTCAATCCTTTATTTATGTCAGTATGGAGTTGTTAAATTTATATTTTGGGTTAAAATTCAATGACACAACATAGCTATTTCTGCAATATTTTCCTTGTTCATATTTTGCTTTTTATAAATTCATAGGTAGGTTGTAAAGATGTTCTGCACCATTTTGTATTTATTTCAGCAGTAGAGCCATTAATCATGATATATCAACTTGACTGAATTAGTTTCCCAGTTAGAAGATTAGTAAAGCACACTTCTGTGTGTGTCTATGGGGTGTTACCAGCAAAGTGAAGGGGGAAGACCCACCCTGATTGTGGATAGCAACAACCAATAGGCTTATAGCCTGGATGGATAGAAACAGAAAGAATGATTAAGTCAATCTGCCTTTAAAAGCTCCATTCTGTTTTAGTGGGTACATCTGTTGATACATACGGCCATGGCCTGTGGTTATCTGACTCCAGTTTCTTTAGATTTTCAGCTTAGGCTTATACTAGTGACTCTTCACAGAGTCACTAGGGCTTCAGTCTTGGACTAGCATTACATTTTGGCCCTTTTTCTCCTGCAGCTTCCAGCTTCTTGGACTAAGCAGCTACTAGATCCTCTGGCTCTCCAGCATGCAGAAAGGCACTGTGGACTCTCTGGTCTGATCCTGTTAGCCTATCTAGTAACCCCTTTGTACCTATCTTATCAATCTGTTCCTCTTGAGAACCATATCCAGCCTCCTCTCCTGTCACTCTATTCATTAGTGCCAGACTGTTCAAGTCTCCACCGAGGCAATTAGAGTGTATGTTATATGTACTGTACTATCTCCCTAACTTTGAAAAGTCAGAAATTCATAGGTTTCCATCACTAGGATTTGTGGCCGTGCATTATTTTCTCAGAACATGTTAATACATTTTAATTTGAATAGAATAAAAAAATGACTTTGACCAACCCTATAGAAATGTGAGACAATCATACAGTATCTGAATCCAAATCTGAATGTATTATTTAAGCAAAAAAGAGAGCCAGAATGGTTAGATTCAGTGTCCTAAAAAAATATAACAATTGATTTTATATGAAAGTTTAAGGAAGACTTCTTTTGAAGGTGTGTTGCTTGAGGCACAGGACTGGTAGTCTTGCACCTAGTCTTCTGACCTTCCAAACTCGAGACTGGACTGTTAGCTTAGAGGCACATTTTCTAAAGGTGTGTGTCTTTGATTGATTGCATAGATTAAAACAACTTCACTTACAAAAATGACACTGATTGTTTTAAAAGGATTAAAACCAGATTGGCTGGATCTACTTCAATGATTGATAGTCTTCTAGAAGTCCATGGGGACTTATTAAAAATTATCAATGTTCACTAAACTGAAATGTTTAGTACCTTTATGTACATTATTCTTGAAAGCTATAACTGTGCTCAATCTTTTTTACTGCTAAATGGATGAAATAATCCTGTATTTTATTAATTTAGATGTGGAAATAGATGGAGTTTAAACATGGGAGTTCTAATAAGAATCACTAAAACAACTGGAATAACAATTTTGTATCATTAGGATAGGACTTCTAACATCTTATTAGAAAAGGACATTTACATTTATAAGATAGAAAATCTTCCATTTTTGTAATATATGTTTCTTATAGTTTAATTACTATTTTAGCTTTATGTGCTATAGAAATTATCTTAAACTTAATTAAATCTATGCTGGTATAATCTTAAGTAGTAATAGAAGAATCTCTAGTAATTCTGGAATCTCACTAAATCAGATTTTGTAGGGTATTTTCTGAAGTCAAACTTCTAAGTGCAGTTAGGATATCTAGGAAAGTGAAGAAATGAGGTGGCATACCATATGTGAACATTTCTAATTAAAATATTAATTAAGACAACATTAAGATACAGTTAGTAAAATACTGGTTTTTTATTAACATGTTCTATTCTGTCAAACCATGAACAGTGAAAAACTGCCTATAGAATATAAAGTCCCTATTCATTTCTGCATTATGAAGTAAACAAAAATTATCAAAGAAATTTATATAATCGAAAACCATGGCATAATGGTATTTTAGTTCTTATTCTTCTTTCCCTTCCTTATTCATCAACTGCCTACAGAAAAACAGCTACTTGCTACTCAGTAAGATGGGGAACATAAGTTGTAAATGTAGTTAATCCAAGGTCCTTGTACTTTGAAGTGATCAGCATCACAAAGTATGGTTGACTCATAGATGTTCCACTCTGATTTGTCCAAAAGATGTGAAACCTCCTACCACACATTATTGGGCTGTGCCTCGCTAAATGTTTTTGGTGGACACTCAGAATAAGAATTGTGACACTTCTTCAGAGCCCTGGAGGGGTATATCTTCCTTCTTAGCTCCTGCCTTGATTTTCTGCCTTCTCTCTGTCATGAAGGGAACAGTTTTCTTTCCCCATGGCCCTCTGTTATATTAGAGCAGCTCTATTTTTAATTGTCCAAACTTGCAAGTAACCAAAACATCCTTTAGTCGGTGAATGGACAAACTATGGTATGTCCATACAGTGGAATATTATTCAGGGCAGAAGAGAAATGAGCTATGAAGGGTTCATACTGGATGATTCCAACAAAACCATGGAGGAAGTACAATGATCAGTGGTTGCCAGGGCTGAAGGGGAGGAGGGATAATTAGAGCACAGAAGAGATCTAAGGCAGTCAAACTATTCTGTATTTTTCCTTTTTCTTTCTTTTTATTTTATTTATTTTTTTGGAGACAGGATCTCACTATGTAGTTTGGGCTGGCCTCAAATGCACAGCAATCCTGCTGCCTCTCAAGTGCTGGGATTATAGGTGTGCACCACTATACCTGACAACATTCTGTATATTATAATGGTGTCTTTATATGTTACTAAACACTTGTCTAAACCTATGGAATGTATGCCACCAAGAGAGAACCCTACCATAAACTATGGACTTTGGTCACTAATGATGAGTCATTGTTGGCCCATCAATTGTAACAAATGTGCCATTCTTGTCCTGGATGTAAATGATGGGAGGGTCTGGATGCAGGGGCAGGGCAGGGGTATAGGGAAACTTTTCTGCTCAATTTTGCTGTGAACCTAAAATTGCTCTAAGAAAAAATTAATTAAAAGAAAAAAATTAAAAACAAAACAGGCAGATATAAATAAAAAATAAGTCATCCTCTTCACTCCATCCTCATAATCAGTCCTGCATCCCTGAGACACATCAGGTACAGAGTCCTATGTCCCTTTCTAGACCTTCCACACATACGGAAGATAAAAACCAGATGTGATGGTCCCACAGGATCCTTGTTCCTTTTAATAATGAAATTCAGAGTTTCTACAGGCCACATACCCAACTGGCTAGCAATAGATTTCCCAGCCTCCCCTGTGGCCAGGTAGGGCTGAGTGACCTTGTTCCTGACCTCAGATAGATACAGAAGGGATGTATGTGTACACAGAAAGAAGGTGCTTCCTGCCCATTCCTGCCTTCGTCCATCCCATCCATGGGCTCAAATGTACCCGTGACACTCTGAGCCACCTTTTATAAGTTGCATTTGAATTAAATTTGGGTAGTTAAAAAACTTCATATAGTAAAAAAAAAAAAAAATTCATGCTTTTTTTTAACACTTTGCTTGTGCATGTGGGGCAGGGGTCCTGGCAGTCTAGCCCCAGCTGCCTGTGCATGCTAAACACATACCATTTACACGTCAACAAGTGTTTATAACCTTTAGAAGACACAGACCATGCCTGTATGATGTTCACTGATGTACTCCAAGTATTCTTTTCTCTGTTTAATTTCACAGATTGTCATCCTGCCCAAGTAGCCACTTACTTGAACAGCCCGGCCCGGTGGAAGACGTAGAGGTCGTGCTGGAGTGTGCAGTCACCAAAGGGGATGACTTTCATGAAGTTCTGGATGAGGACAAACTCAGGGGTGAGTTGGGGCACGGAAATGATGCAGAAGTTCTTGTCCTAGCATGATCAAAAGCCAGGACATATGAGAAGCACAAAAAGCATTTATCATTAAACACACATGAAAATAGGGGCACGAAGGAAAATAGAAGCAAAATGCATGTAGAAGATTCTCAATTAACTTCCTATATTTTCAAAAGTAATCACATAAAATTCAGGGAGATGCAACTACAAGAGGATGGAGAAAATATCTGTGAGTCTGACTGAACCCTGAATAAGTGCGCATGAGGAATAACTGCACCTATTGGGAATAGCTCTTGGACAGAAGTGGCTTTTCAAGCTAAGACCACTTGTTCCTGTGAATTCACCCAGCCAATGAGGCAGCACGGTGTCCTAGCAAAGGCCTTGCCCTTACTATATGACCTGACAGCAGCCTCATCCTCTTCTCTGTGAGGTGGCAGGGAGGTATGTCAGGCAGAGAGGCTCTTAGATCCTATGATTACACACAGTCTGATGTGTGTGTCCCTGTTGTGACATGGTCCCTTGGAGGTGAAGGTCCCAGGGTTGTTGAGCTGCACAGTGGGTTTAGGCTGCGGATGCAGGTAGATCCAAATGTCCTGACAGGTGCCTTCCTGACCTGAACTTCCTGCCTTCCTGAACTGCACTGTCCTATATGGTAGCCCTGGCCACACCCAGCCAATGAGCATTTGGAATGTGGCTGCTGTGATTGAACAACCAAAATTCTTAACTTCTTTTAAGTTTAAAAACTGGTGCTCAGTTCCATTTATTGGAAAAGTTTTATGCATGATCAGGTTAGGTGAATTGATTTTAAGACATTTTAGAACTCACTCATCCCAACATGAGTATCCAACTGTAGATTTTATGAGACCTAAATCCAGATCAAGTGTTTCTGATGAAAACACAGTACTTGTATTGAGATGGGCTGTAATATAAAACAAACATCGCTTTCAAAGACTTGGTGTGAGAGAAAGAAAGTAAACCAGCTCATTAATAATTTGTCACATTGACTGAATGTTAAAAAGATTCAGTTTGGACACAATGAGTGAGATGAACAGGTTATTAACATGGGGGCCTCTGGCCCTTTTCACCTGGTGCCCGCGTGGCCATGGGATTGCTGGGGTCCGCATTGTGTCTGGAGTCTGGAGCTCTGAGCTGCTTCTGTTCCCTGCAGCCATTTGACCCTCTGCCAGGTCCCTGTAGAAGCAGCCTGCTCTTCCCAGAGCTAATTTGTCCCTTTGGGACCTCGCTTCCCCCTTGAACCCTGTGAAGGCATCACTTGTACTAATCCAAAGCCCTTGGGACATCTGCAACCCAAAGGGAGTGAATCGTTACTTGACCTTATCTTCCTTCCTTCCAGAAAATTAACACCACTCCTTTTGGGAAACTTTAGAGTCAGGTTGTACAACTAAAGCTGAAAATAAGGCTTGGGGGCCATGTCTCGGTGGGCTTCCTCAGGGAGGGGGAGGCTCACTGTAATGAGCTGCTTTAGCTTGCATTTTAAGGATTAAGGATGAAGTAATGAAGGTATTTTGTTCCTGTTTCCTCATATCCCCAAATCAAATAGGATTAAAAAGTAAACAGGTCTTCTGCCACTTTAAAGCTGATATTTTATAATGCTGAAGATTTGCCTTTATTTGGGCTTTAAAATAAGAATTAAACTTGGTGAAATTTCTTTGAGGCAAATTGGGGGAAACCAGCTTTGTAAATTCTCTGTTCAGGGTAATCTATATTGCTTTATGAGCTTCTAAAATGCCTTAAAATTAATTCAAAGAAATTGCTGTGGAGAATATATTGCCTTATTACAAGGCTTCATTATATTTTAAAAATGAGGAAATAAAGCCTAATATCACATGTTTTTTAGGTAACATAATTAAATTGTATTTATTTCTGCCTCAGTATAAAGAGTAGAAGGAAACATAGAACAATAGACATTTGGCTTAGAATTAGCCAACTGAAGAATGGCAACTGCTGATTTAACCTTAGGACAGCCATGGGAAAAGGCCTTAGAAAAGCCCATTTTGTCCCGCAATTGTCCTACTTCCCCACTCTCTTCCTTCCAACAAAGTGAGAAAGGTGGGTTTGGAGCTGCACCACTGACAACACTGAACCCAGGAGGAAAAGCTCAGGATACACCGAGATGGGCTATGCAGTTTGCACACAGGTGTGGGCTGGTCCCTTTCACATGCTGCCAGCACTGAATTCAGCCTGGGAGCAAGTATGGAAAGAGAGGCCAACCCGGAAATCACCCACAAGTTTACCTTCCCTCACTGCCAGAAAGCCACAGAATCATTTCAGAAACTGTGAGGTCAGTGTGACCTGTCAGTCACATACTAGCGTCATCACTGACATTTTCATATACTATGATCCATGATGTGAGTCTAATACAACACCAGTAACACTATCTCTAAAAGGAATTATGCAATGAAAGAAAGAGTGATTGAAGAATTATTGAAAATGACAATATTTTCTATGTTTGAGTTCCTAAAAAAAAGAGTTCCTAACCTTACTCTCCGAACACAGAAGCAGTTCAAAGCTCAACATTCACAGCACTGTAAATGCCCATACAATATGGAATTTTACCTTTTTATACTGTATCTGAACTACAAAACCAAATATAATATCCAATCTTGGCATACTTACGGGAAAGAGACTGAAAACAAAATTCATAAAATCCAGAGACCTGTAAACAAGACAGGGCACACTGTCACTGGCCTGTAAACAAATATAGCAGAGGGGACATCTGAGGAGATTTATGGCTCTCTCTTGCTCAGGCAGTGATTAGCTGACCAGAACATGTGTTGTACAGAATGTAAGTCTAAGCATTATGTGTCAGTATTAAATATTTTGTAAATGAAGGCACTATCATAATAATTAATAATCTCTGCACATTTGAAGAGCCACAGGAAGCTGGGCATAGTGCTGCATGCCTGTAATCCCAGCACTCAGGAAGCTGAGGCAGGAAGATTGCTGTAAGTTCCAGGCCAGCCCGGGCTACATAGTGAGTTTAAGGCCAGCCTGAACTACATAGCAAGACCCTGTCTCAAAAACAAAAACCAAAAAACCAAAAAGCAAAAAAAAAAAAAAAAAACCCACAAGAAAGGCAGCCATTATGCCAATGTGATCCAAGCTGAGTACAGATATGGATAGGATATAGGCCATTCTTGTTCTCTTTTATATGCAAAAAATTTTCTGGCCAGCTTTCTGTTCACATTCACAGGCAGTCCATACTGGGTTATAAAATTTTCTGTTTAAAAATCCAAAAGGCACATCTAGGCACAATCATATCAAAATGCACAGGGGAAAGGAACTGTTAAAACAAGTCTAGCAAGGCTTTACAGGCTTTTTAGATGCCTATAATATTATTAAAATTCTTTAAATTTCCCTTTTCAAGCTTCAAGTTCTTCACAGAGGCTTAAAATTTAATGTTAAAAAAAAGAGGAGACATTGTTTAGAAGAGCCCAGGAGACTGGAGCTATGTTCAAAAACATCTACTAAAGGGCCAGGGATTTAGCTCAGTGGTTCCGCTGCCTACCTTGCAAGCACAAGGACACAAGTTCAATCCCCGGTACCAAAAAAACAAAAGAAATTGTGCCCAGCTCTCTTCTGGGTCATCTACATGATACTGCAGAATTTCTGCTCTATAAAAATTTGACAGTCTTTTCCTCATCTAGATTGTCCTGTGGGTAGCTGGCAGAATGGATGAAGTGCTAAAGGAGATGTGGAATTCAGGAAAGGAGGGCAGCACTCCAGACCCAGACTGGGGGTGGGAGGTACCAAGTCCTGAACACTGGGCACATAGAGTGACAGGCAGTGGGTGGCGGGCAGCCCAGGTGTCCACTGATGCCCTCTCCCATCTGACATTTGGGTGAGGCTGCAGCCCCAGATGCAGGGTGGGGCCTGAGGTAAGTGACTGGGCCCATTCTGAGGCCCAGCTTGGACACTGTTATTGGCTCCACAATGAGCACACAGTCCAGTCAGGCCTCATGGGATACTGGCTGGCAGGCTGAGCCCTAACCAGAGTGTTCCCCTCACCAGATGTCTATGTAGACCCAAGACTGTCAGCAATCATGCCCCAAGGCTAGGGCCACCACAGAGGACCAGGATAAAGAGACAGAGAGAGAAGGCTGGTTCCTGGTTTGGTCAGCTCTAACAGAGTTCAAACCCTATTTGAAATTATCCCTACAAGTGGAATCATCCTTAGTTGTGGGAGGCAATCATTCCACCTTTCTTGCACAAAGTCAATTTCAATGGGATTTTCTGTTACAGTGGACCATCGAGTTACAACTGGCCTGACATTGAATTCCTAAGTCCAAGGGTCCACCATACTTGGAACCAAAAGACTTCAGACAAGCAGCAACCCAAATCCAAAGTCTCCAAAAAACTGGAAACTTCAGAGAATGGGAGCAGCATGTGGTCAGTTTCCAGATCCCCCGTTGTGATCCAGGGAGCCCAGACCTTTCCAGCTTTCATGCCCACATCTGTACTCCTTGCTCAAAGCTGATGGACTAGGATCTCTGGGTTGGGTCCAAGACTCCATTGTTTAAAAATTTCTTCAAGAGATTCGGATGTGGGGTCAAGGTCTAGAAAAACTGGCACTGCAAAATTTCAATGCTGACCCACCAATGTGGCCAGTGGTTTTGACCCTAACAGACCCCCTGGAGACTAGCACTTGCCTTGCCTCATACTGCTCATCGATACAAAAGAGCTGAATGCAGAACACAGTGGGGGCTCCCCTGTAGACTGGGCGGAAATAGTCAGGCTCCTCGGGCAGCAGGATGGATGCTGAGCTCCAGCGGCTGACACCATGTTCCTGCTCACCAGTGAGGGAAAGCAGACTGAGTTTATCCGTGTCCTAGGGCAGGGAGAGAAGAGGCTCCAGTGGAATCCTGTTCATTTTGGCAAGCTAATGGTGCAGTGGTTGTATCATCTTTAGATTATATTGTTCCTAGGAAGGTGACCATCTTACCTACAAACTCATTGTAAACCAGACCTAGTTTTAAAGTGCTCTTAATCAAGCCGGGCATGGTGGTACAGGCCTGTAATCCTAGCATTCTGGGAGGCTGAGACAGAGAGACCCTCTCTCAAAATAAAAAATTAGAAAAGGGCTGAGGATGCAGCTCAATGTGAAGGTCCTGGGTTCTATCTCCCATAACACACACACACACACACACACACACACACAGGCACACGCACATGCACACACACACAATGTTCTTAATGAGATTCGGCATTTATAAAATGATTAAAACAAGTTCTCCCACAAAGGTCAGAAAATAAATGTTTTCAGTTGGCCTTTGATACAAGATCAATATTTTAATTACATCACTGGGTAGAGATTAGAGCACTATACTGACACCCCCCACACACATACATATATGCACACTTTCAGCCGCAAAACAGCTCTGTCCCTCAAACCATTTTTACTGTGATTTTGTGACACAAGGATTTCTAGACCTTATGACTGCTCCAGCAGTGCTGGGTTAACTGTGGTGGTGAAGTCAAAACAGGAAGGGTTTGATTTTAGGGGCACCTGGAAAGGGGTTACCCCCTGGGGAAAATGATTCATTCTGAGATCTTTCTCAGGTTCTTTTAAATCACAGTAATACATACATATGGTAAAAATTAAAAGTAATATTAGCACTAAAATTTATAGGAAATCAGCAGTCCCCCATCTCCCTCTGCCCCATTAGATAGCACTTTCAATTTTTTCATTTTGGGGGGATTCATCCATTTCTGAATAATATGCTTATGTTATTTCTTAATTCAGCAGTTTTTGGTATTTCCTACTGGATATTGCTGTGGTGGGTGGATTTAACCCTTTTACACTCCCCTCTTCCCCAATTCTATCTCCCCAGTATAATTACATCACAGTCTAGAGTTAAATCAGTACTTACATTAGTATAAGTATGTAAGTATTGTTTATGAATATGTGCTATTGCTAAACACAGTAGTATGACTCCTTTTATTCATATACTTAGTTTTTATTTGCTTGGTTTCCTATTTTTTCACATGCTTGATCAGATTTGTGAAGTGGTGGACAATATTATTTTCCAAGCAATCGGGGACCTGAGCTAATCTGTGAACGTTTTTCTACCCCTCCTCCCATCTGTCCCAGGCCTCCAGCACCCTCTTGTTCTGTGGCTCCTGCTCCTTAAGTGCTTTTCCTCACTCCTACTTTAGGCTCTTTTAGCATTGGAGCACATTTCCAGCTTCTTCAGTGGCTGTAAGGCAAAAATTCAACAACACCTGGATAAGGAGGGCACTTTGAGGGATAATCAGGGAGAGACTGGCAATGGGGAAAGGAGAGATCCCAGTGATGTTATCTGGAAGCCTCTCCTTTGGGCCTGTCAGGTTTGGGGGGGGGGGTGTCTAAGCCTTTGCACAGGGGCCTGAGGTATCCAGAGCAGTGGCCCCAAGGGTATGTGCACCCTCATCCCTGAACTCCCCAGGTACGCTGCCTCACTGGGTCAAGGTACTCTGCAGATGCCATTCAATTAGGGATTCTGCCATGAGGACAGTATGTGGAATATATGTGAATTCCATGAAATCATGAGTCCTCACAACAGGGAGGCAGGAGGCCAGAGTGGGGTTAGGGTTAGGGCACTCTGTGCCCAGGAATGCCACAGGCAAGGTGGCCAATCTCCCTGTCTCCTCCAGAAGGGATGAGCCCCTCCCCATGGACAGATTTCTGTATAGCAAGGCCAATTTTGAACTCCTGCCCTCCAGCACCTTAAGATAATATAGGTCTGTGCTGCTTTGAGCCACCAACTCTGTGGTGATTTGTTACAGGAGTGACACAAAACTGCAAGGCCACAGCTCTGACATGCAGAGCTCCTCCCACCTCTGTGTCCTTCTTCACTGCACCACCTCATACGGTGTGGAGAGCCTGAGCAAAGAGCTTCATCTTGATTTCTCCTGAGAACAAACACTGGGTTGCTTCCTTTGAGGTCCAGCAGATGAGCTGAGTGGCATAGATAGGGAATCTGGGGTTCTGGTCAACCCACATCAGGCTATATGCAACCCCACCCCTCACTTGCCTTCAGCCAAAGCTTCCAGTTCCCACCCACCAGTGGATACCCACACACCTTCCCCCTTCACCTTCTTGCCCGGGCTAAGTCAATGTAAACGCCTCCATCGATGTTCTTGATTCCAAATATTTTTAAAGTGCTTATCTTCCAATAACTCTTCTCTGTCTCACTCTTTGTGAATTTATGTCATTTTAGTGTTTTCTTCCAGCAGGGTCAGGAGATAAACACAAAGATGAAGCCTCGCTGTTTACCCAGATGCCCTTGGGGTACCACAGGTTCATTGGCAGGTTGGGACTACCCCTGCCCCACAGAAACTTGTTCAGACATAAAGGAACACTGGAGAAGACACCACCAACTCAGAGGTCCTTCAGAGCCAGTGCCCCAGGAATGCATCCTGCTGAGGTCGAGGGGAGATCATGAAGGACCCCCCAGACATGAAGGAGCTCCAGCTCTCTCCAAGCACAATCTGATGGCTGCACCAACCCAGCAGGCCCTCTCCCCTTCCTGGGATGTAGGCAGAGGCAGGTGCTCAGAGGGCTCTTGCTGGTGCGTAGACTCCTTAACTGTTCAGAATCTGGGCAGAAGATGAGTGCATTTGTGGCCCTTCAGCAGAGCTCCAATGTCTGTAATCAATGGTCAGTGTACATGTCCCAGGGCCACCCTGAACCTGATTGCCCAGGTCCCTTCACAGCTGACTCATGCAGTCCATTACCCATCAACAAGACCTCTAGGGTAGCTGCTGAAGAGGAAGCACTGTGTGCATCACTGTGGAGTAAAACATCTGATAGGGCAACTTGTGACTCAACATCCTAGGAGGCCTCCTGCTGCTCCTTGGGGAAGGTCAAAATCTGGCACAAGGTCCACAGAACCTACACATCCCCTCAGTCCTCCATTCCTTGGTGGGAATGCAGGGCACCTGGAGTGTACGCAGCTAATTTGACTGAGGACCACATGTGAAGGGTGGGCAGGCAGAGGGAAGCCAGGAACAGCCCCTGGAGAGGTTGTGCCCCTCTTGGCTGGAACTGGTAACTGGAGGAGCAGGCACTGGAACCTGAACAACAAGTGAAGGACACACAGTACCTTCAGGTGTGCATGGTTTGATTGTGCCTGTGTGTGTGTGTGTGTGTGTGTGTTACAACACAGAGTCCTGCAAACCTTCTCCCTCTTCAAAGTGTTTTCTCTTTCAGCAAGGGGAGGGAGAAAAGGGGTTTTTACTGAAATTATTGAAAATAATCAATTTATAAAATAAAACTTCTAGTGCAAGCTGTGCAGGGGTTGGGGGGAATGAATAAGGGATTCATCCACCATGGGATCAGGATAAGCAGAGAGGCTCTGTAGAGTGGGTCCTAAAGGAGGCACTGGGTGTGAATGGGAAAAGAGGCAGTGTCTGGAGGAGGGAAGGGTGCTCAAGACTGAGGGGTATGGGGTGAACTTGGGGGGTGGACAGTGGGCAGTCAAAGGCCCTGTGGGTACCCTACCTGCATTTCACTGGCATTTTCACTGTGGACTGCTGAGAGGAGTTCAGCTTCTTCCATGACCTTTTCCTGCAAAAGACAACAACAAGACATGAATTAACTGACTCCACAGTGCCCAGAGTTCAAGCTATAGAGTAATGAACCCTGGCTGGGAGGCCCTGGGAAGTAATGGAGCCTCAGTTTTCTCAACTGTAAAAGAGACAAAAACAGTTCTACTCCCTACGGTTGCTATGAGAATAAAATAAGGATGGAAAGGGAGAATGAAGATGGACGGATAGGTAGGTAGATAGAGTGATCCATTATGGATGATTGATAGATAACAGACAGATGTTTCGCACAGGGTGGATACCCTTCTTTGCAGCTCTTAGTTATGACACCATTATTCTTCTATGTAATTTGAGAGTTGCACTGCTTTTTCAAAAAACAGCTTCACTGAGGTATAATCAACATACAATACACTGGATATATTTAAAACGTACCTTTTTAAAAGTTATGACGTACATAGGCACCCTTAAAAATATCGCCCCCATCAAAATAAAGAGCTCGTGCATCACATCCCAAGCTTCTGTGCTGGTCTGGTCCCCACTGCTCACGACCTTGCTGACAACAGGTAAACCTTGATCTGTTCATCACTATGGATTTGTTAGTGTTTTGCGGAATTTTATAGAAAGAAAGCCATATCATAAGTGCCACTAGCAGGGGAGAAGGACCATTCTTCCAATTCTCTCAGCACATCTATTTTGAAATCCACCTGTGCTATTGCAAGTAGCAATGGCATATTCCTTCTTGTTGCTGAGTGCTACTCTGTGGTGTGGAAGCACCACATTTCCTCCACGGCCTCATCGCTGCAGGAAATGGCTGATCTTTTTAATCCTGGTCACTCTTGCAGAGGTATAGCTGTGTCTCATTGTGGTTTTAATTTGCATTTCTCTAACAACTAATGATGTGGATGTCATTTCACATGGCATGTCTTCATTTGGAAAAGGTCTGTTTCAATTTTTGTGCATTTTTATGAGGGTATTTCTTTTGTATTACTGTGTTTTGACAGCTTTAAAATATGTTATGGAAACAAGTCCATTGTCAGATATATGATTGGAAATATTTTCTCCCAGTCTGGGGCTGTCTTTCATTTTCTTAAAAATATTTCTCAAAAAGTTTTAAATCACGATGATATCTAATTTGTTCAATATGTTCTTTTATGCACTATGCTTTTGCTGTACCTAAGAAATCTTTACCTGACCCTAGGTCAAAAACATTTTCTCCTTGGATAGGTTTGGAGTTCACAATTCAGTCTCTGATCCATTTGTAGTTCATTTCTGCATATGGTGAACCATGGATTGGATTTCAAATTTTTGTATATGGATATGCAATGGGTTCAGCTCCATTTATTGAAAAGACCATCTGTCCTCTTCTGCAGGGCACCTTTGTCAAAAATCAATTATCTATAAGGGAATTTTTTATTCTATTCCATTGATCTACTTGATCTTTACACTAATTCAACACTGTTTTAATTACAAAAATAAGACTTTAGAATAAGTCTTGAAATCAGCTTATTTTCAAAGTTGTTCCAGCATATTATGAGTCCATTCTATTTCCATATGAACTTTGGAAACAATTATTTTTAATTTCCATAATCATTCCTACTGAAATTTTGATTGAGATTTTATAGAATCTAAAGATAAATTTGGGGGATTGAAAATCATCTTTAAAATATCCAGTCTTCCAGTGCATAACCATAAGATGTCTTGCCATTTATTTTATTTCTTCTTTAATTTCTCTCAGACATGTTTTGTAATTTTCAGTGTGAAAGTCTTCAACATTTTTATAAGATTCATTTCTAAATATTTCATATATTTTTACTATTATAAATGTTATTTATTTCAATTTCTGAATGTTCATTGCTATTATATTGAGATACAACTGAGTTTTGCATATTAATTTTGTATGTATTTCATAAACTTGCATATCAGTACTAATAGCTGTTAGGTGGATTTTGTACATAGGTGGTCATGTTGCCTGTAAATACAAGGCTGTTTTAATTCTTCCTTTCCAATCCAATATATATTTTTTTTGGTACCAAGGATTGAACTCAGGACCTTGCACTTGTGACGCAGGTGGTGGCACCACTGAGCTAAATCCCCGGCCCCAATATTTCTTTTAATATTTTTTTGCACTGGCTTAGGTTGCCTGTCCAACTTTGAATTGGAGAGAGTAGATATTCTCATCTTGCTCCTGACTTTACAGGGAAAGAGAAAGCACTTAGTTTTTCACCGTTAAGTATTAAGTTAGCTGTAGGTTTCTCAAAAGTAACCTTTATCAAATTAAGTTCTCTTCTATTCCTAGTTTTCTGAAGTTTTTATGAGGAATAGATGTTGAATTCTCAAGTTCCTTTTTCTGTATTCATGAGAATATATGTATGGACTTTCTTTTTTTTAGTTTATTAGTATGGTGAATTATTTTTATTGATTTCCTTATGTTTAAGTAACCTTGCATTCCCAGAATAAAACCTACTTAATTATGATGTATGACCCTTTTAGGTTTTATATATTGACTCAGTTTGATAAAATTTTTATTAGACTTTTTCCATCAATGTTCATGAAGGACAGGGATCTACAGTTGTATTTCTTGTAATGTCTTTCAAGACACCAAAGGTGAGATGACTTGAGTCCTTTTGAACTCATGGAGACATTCTACAGCCTACAGTATGGTCTAGCTTGGTAAATGTTCTATGTGTACTTTGTTCTTGTGTTCCCAACTTGTCCCTCCACCCCACCCCATGCTGCATTTCTCATTTTCTCTTTATCACTGGTTTCCCATTCTCTGGTCATGGCTGACTTTGGCATAGTTTTGGGCTGAGGGACAGGTTCTGGCCAGCTGATCAGCTGAAGGTGTTATGATAGAGGGAGACGCATCTTGGATTCGTGTGAAACTCAGGGCTTACATTATGCCAGGCTGACGATATCATCCCAGATGTGAGTCCATCTGGCTTCTTGCCCCACCCCTTCAGTGAGGTCAGCTGTAAAGGAGGGGACCTGAGTGGCCTTGTTCTTAGGAACAGAAAGGGACATACATCAAAGCCCCGGGGGAATATGTGAGGACGCAGATCCTGGGAATGTGGGCGTTTTTATGTTACTATGAACCTGTGCATTGTTATGGGACAGATGATGGCTGAATTCTGGGGCCTCTTGCCAAATCCTCTCTCATCCATCCCACAGCTAGCTCTAGACACTGCTGGTGGGGTCCCCCTTGATCAGGGCAGCAGCAGATTTAGTGCTCTATTAGCACCACACTGGCAGCAGAGGGGAAGGGGGCTTTCCCAGACCAGGCCAGGACCACAAAGCCAGCTACTGGTGACAGATGTGGCCAGGTCCTGTCATGCACAAGGCTCACGTGGGGCAGGAGCACAAGCTACCACCTCTGAGTAGCACAGGCAATGAAGTCTCTTCACAGAGTCCGGGTTTCCTAGCGAGCTTCAAGTGAGCATCTTTATGGGGTGGAGGATAAAGCAGGGTGGAGGTCCTGCAACACACCAGGGAGCCCCTGAGAGTCTGCCATGGACCTTGCACTTACCGGATGTTAGCATTGGGCGGCCTTTCCTGCACCAGGTGCTGGACCTTCTCAAGTATGACCCCACAGCAGCAGTGTCCAACCCCCATCACAAGCAGCCCTGGCCCTATCCCCACGCCAGGCACAGGGACATTCTCCTCACCTGGAAGCTCCCCGTGGCCTCCGGGGAAAACAGTCCTGAGAGTTCCTGGGCTGTCTTCTGGGAACTCTGGCTCTCTGTCCTGAGTTTGGCATCTATGAGAGAGAAAGGGGGTGAGGACAGGGCAGATGATGGGGCAGTACCATCCTAGGTTTCTAAACTGCAGGAGTCTGAAGACTTAAGTCTGGGGTGGCACCCAGAGGGAATAAGAGCCAGTCTCTGCAGCTCACACCATCCTGGCTCTGACACAGAGATCCCAGGCCAGCTAGCCCTCCACCTCCTTGCATCCACCTCTACACAATGGATGTGACTGGATCCTGCTCCAGGAGACAAAACTGGGTCTGAACCTGCTGGGGCCAGTGGCGGGGGGCGGGGGGGCAGCCTCTGCCATCGCGGGACAGCATAGCCTTTTGAGGGCAGCCCTCTTCAAGGTTCACCAATTCCTGATTATTGCCTTCCAGGACAGCAGGCTCTGATGTGATCTTAAGACAGACACAGAAAGGACCACAGTCAGCTCTGTGGGTGCCACCGATGCCAAGGATTCACAAGGGCTGCTTTCCCTTAGTGTGGAAATACTGTGGCTAGTAGCCACGAGGTTCACTTTTCTGTTTTCTAAGCAACTGGAGCTGAGCATTATTCTTTAATATGTTCTAGAAAGTCGATCAGAGTGGTCTTCGTGTGTTTAATCTGTACTAAAAATCATAAAAAGTATTCCCATTTTCTTTGAAAAGGATTTTCTACCTCCACTTCCCTACCCACTCTGTCTCTCTCTTTCCTCTCTTCTCTCTCCTCCCTCCTCCCTCCTTTCTCTCTCTCTCTCTCTCTCCCCTCTACCTTCTCTCTGCTTCCCTCCTTTCTATTTTCATGCTTTAGGAGGGCAATCTCAGAGAGACCACCATTGATCACTGTAGCATGCCCTCCTGCCCCTCTGCCTGCGCCAGTGCTGCTCTGCCGGGGGTACCCTATGACACTGGCTCTCAGCCTTTGGCCTTTAGCATAGAGCAGCCCAGGATGCTCTGCTCACACACAAGAGGGACCCTGGGACCCTGTAGCCAGCATGGTTTAATCATCCTATTGGACACGCAGGCCAGAGGCAGCCCCAGCCTCACTGCTTCCTCCCTGCCTGCTTTCCCTGATCTTCCAGCACCCACTGCGGTCACAGACCTGCAATCACCTCTCAAGCCAAATTACTGGATCAAGAATGCTTTCTGGCTCCTCTCAAAAAAGATGTAGGTGAATGGAAGAAAACAAAATTCTAAGAGAAAAATTAGATGTGCAGGGAGGCATACAGGGCACAGTCAGAGAGGCACATAAAGCTGCAGGTGCAGAGAGAATCTCATCCTGGCACAAGGGGCAGCTCTTGGGGTATGACAGGAAAATGGCCCAAGAGGACTTAGAGTCCCTCTCCTGAAGACAGAGGCTTTGGGGAAAATAAGGGCACCACATCTTGAGCTCCTGAATACGGCTGTGCCCTGCAAAATTACCCAGAGAGCCACTGTGGGGTTTCCAGCATTTCCATGATAGTAAGAGCAGCATGCTTTTCTAGGTTAATCTACTTTGTTGCTGAGATGGAACACATTGGGAAATGTATACAACTCGGTGAGTTTCTACATATGGTTACCTCAGAGAATATATAAAATGATAGCACCCAGAACCTTCCCGCCTCTCCCTACCCGGTCAATGTACCTATTCTGACTTTTAGTCAATTTCACTGAGCAGCAAACTTTGAAGGAAAAACAACTCATATCAATATATTCCTACTTTTAAATTGCACTTTATTTGAAAAAGATACTTCCTTCTTATTTTCAGTTTTAACCTTGAAGAACTACAAAAAGCCCAAGTAAAGGAAAAGCAGACCGACATGGAGCATATGTTTCTTTTATGATTAGGGTAAAATCACTAAAGAGTAAAAATTCTTAAAAGGTGAATTAGATTTGCAATGAACTAATAATCCTGGTGACTTAACTGCTCGGCAGTCTGATGTCATGGGACAATTACCAACAACAAGGACTAATTGTCTGGGCTAAACTGTCATGAGGTGTTGTGGTTTATGATTAAGCAGCTGCCACCCCTGTCCCTGGAGGTGGCTGCATTTCAGAAATATTCAAGGTGATGCTGTACCTCTCTCTCTGATGCCCCTTGGGTTTGGGAGATTTAATTAGTTAATGTTCATAACATGTCCTGAGCTCTTTGGATGTGACATATTATCCCAGGAAAAAGTCCAGGCCGTGCTTTTCTGTAACACACAATAACTGAAAACACATCCTAGGCTGCAACTCAAATTGTTATTTGATGACTTATGCCACCTATGTAGCTCAGAAGTCCCAAACTCATGGCAGATTCTAGGAGCAGAGGCACAATTTCCTGGCTCATTCCCCAAAAGTGACACCCAGTATCTTAAGTAAGGTTACTCTGAAGCTAATTAAGCCAGAGGTTCTAGCACAGGCCCCTTCCAAGACTTGGCAGCTAATGCTGCATTCATAATTTTGCATTATTACCCTTAAGGAGTGCCCAGATTATATAGACCTTATGTTCTACTAGCCTTTGGATCTTCCTTGCTCTTTATTTAATAGAAATCATGCATTTTGAAGGATTTAGGAATAAGTAATACAAATTAATAACATTTTGAAGAGAATGAAAAATAATATATTTTGAATGGTTTAGGGACAAATAACAATATATAATCTTTTATAGTTAACATATTTTAAAATCCATTAAAAATTCAACAATATTTTTCTGTTATAAAATAAACTGATCCTAAAAGACTAAATATAATAAACAAAATTTTAAGAAAGAAGAACAGACAATGGGCTAAATTTGTACTAAATATTAAGAATTACAAAGCCATGATTTCTGAGTGAGTTGTCAAGGCAGGAATAGAACAGAATAGAGTCTCAAAATACAGTCAAATCTGTATGAAATTTGATAAATGTTAATGGTGGTATTTCAAATCGGTGGGAAAAAATAAACTATAAAATACAAGCAGTGGTGTTGGCTATCCATATGAGAAAAAAATATACTTCAGCTCCTACTTCATACCAAAAATAAAAATCATTTTCAGATTCGGTTCACAAACTTAATTCATTCCACAATTCTGGGGAAGATGGCCACGGTTGTGTTTGTCACCTGAAGTGGAGTTCGTGAACAGAAGCAAAATTTTGCCAAACCGAATTGTTTGCAAAAAGAAGCATTTGTGAACCGAGGCAGCACTGTACATTATGGCCTGAAGTTTTCAAAAACCCACTTTGAAATTAACAGAAAAAAATTCGAGAGCATATCTCCATGAAACACATCTTACTCATTATTTACCACTGTGTGCCTGACAGGGCATCTGCAACTTGTTCTTCATAGAATTTTGAACTGAATAATTTCAATTGAATTTCTAGTCTTTGCTCCAAGGAAGCAGGGGAAACACTTCCTTTGAAATACAGATGTCATAAAGAAAAATACTGACATATTTACCACACCAAAATATAAAAGGTCTGTCCAAAAAACCCTAGACACACATGGAGAAAATACTTGCAGCACATGTAACAGACCAGTAATTGAATTCTAGGAAACAGAGATCATACCCAACCAAGGGAAATGAATGGCAAGGAAATGCAAGTGGTTGATAAACATGTGAGACATGTTCAACCTCAACAAAACCTGGAGAAGAAAATGAAGCAATGGTGTCTCCTTTCATACTGCTCATATTGGCTAATGGAAAAGACTGAAGCATTGAATACTGGGCAAGTGGGAGGAGTTTGGAAGAAAGGCCACTGGCCTGCACATGTTTAGTGACAATGCAAGTGCTCTCAAGCCCAGTAACAGCGATTCTGGAAATACAGCCAGTGGGCAAGGGGTCCAAGGAGACATGCACACGTGTGTTCATTGCACCATCACTTGCAATAACAAAACAGTGCAGGCAAACTCAAAGTTGACCAAGAACGAGTGAGGCACATCCCACACAGGGAATGCTGTGCACAGGGTGAAAGGAAGTGCCCTCTACCTATGCATATTAACATTACTAGATTTCATGCAAATGAAAACAA